TTTCCAACTGGGGATACCAGTACTCCCGGTGAATGTCCTCCTACTGAACCAAGAGAGTTACCTGCATCCCAACCCACCGTGTCTACTACACCAGGAAGAGCTGACAGACCAAAAAGGACAATAAGGCCTCCAGAACGATTGAACTTATAAGGAACTTCAGAACTTTTAGTGACTTGTTGAATTGTTGACATTTTCTTTGCTAAGGGGGGAGGTGATGTTATATGTTGGGCTACCTGTACCCTTTTTACCATGTAAGGAAAACCTCGTGGTGAGCTCGAGCGAGCATTAACTAAGAGCGACCAACCATCACTGTTACTGTGTTTAATGGTAATCTATTTAATGTTATACTTTCGAATATATTACATGTTCCATAGGGATGAAGCTTCAGAAAGTATTGTTACCTTGAGTTGGAAATGAAATCTAAACTTTCCTGATGTAAAAAACTAAAAATAAAAGAAAGCTTAGATAGTGGGTACACGAACTACAAGGTTTTTGTTTCCGACTGATTGAAAAAGAAGCAGAAGACGGTGAGATTTCTGTATAACCCCATACTTTATTATGCATTCAATTCTCGGATAAAGGAAAGCAGAGGCAAAGCAACAAATTTCCTTTGGGACTACGGATGTTTTTTTATTGGTATGGGTTTATACGGAAATCTTTCCGCGCCCTGGCTTGCCCGGCACCAACGGCTGAAAGCAGTTTAGTTTTAGCCGAGCGGTATGTTTTTTGTAGTAAAACTATACACGGATCACTTGCTCGTTAAGTATACGACAGCATAAAAGAGTCACCTAGACTGTCTGGCGCACAGTGGAATAACTATCAACAAAAATGTTGGTACATGTATGTACATGTATGTAATTTTTGTGCACTGAAATACCAGGGGGAAATCTTCAAACTAGAGTTTCCAATTAATTTTTGCAGAGCGAATTACATAATCATTTTACGTGTTTTTATTTTATATCTCAGTTGGTCCTTTCGATCGGGGCGAAGTGTACGTAGAGGATATTAGTATTTATAATTTCAACCGAAAAAAAAACTAATCGCCATTCTGGAAAAGACATTCGACCTTCAAAACCCAAGTGATCATTAGTTTCAGTTCTTCGAGTAAAAGGATATACAGAGAAAAGAGAGCAAAAGGGAATACACTATTCCCATTCACTGCTGTTCATTTCGCTTCTACGTCAGCTATGAGAATCTGACGCAAAATGAGGATATCATATCGGAGAATAAATTTAGTGAAATATTTTCATTTTCAAACAGAATTCACACTTACACCTTTCAGGTGTTAGAAATCTTCCATAAATAGATTCCAATTACCGCTAAACGATAAAAATCTACCTCCATTATTTTGTTCAGCGCGCATAAAATCGAATAATGTTGCCGTTTTAGACCTGTACAATATTCCCATTTTTAGTGCGACCTCAGGTGGATGTCATGCAGCCAGTTGCGTGACGATCCCAAAATACATTATCTCTTAAACAAGAATCAATTAACGGCTAATTTCTAACATCACTGAAAAAAGGAAAGTCCACTTTTTCATTTTCTTAAAGATAGGTTTCCTGACCAATTTAGGGTATATTTTAGAGTCCACTTTAGAAACTTTTTTAGATTCCTGATTTTCTTCATGATTATTTTAAAAAAACTCTTCTACTCCAAATAGAATCGCGAGCATTTCCAACTGCATGTTCAATTGTAAGCCATAGAAACTAGCCTTACTCGATAAAAGCTCAGCTTATCTCAAAATCCAAGCGAATGACTGAGGTATTTGACACTTTCATTTTCTCAAAGAACCGCGTGACTTTGGGGACCTCCCTGGTGTCAATTAACATATCTGTCTTCCGCAACTTTCCGTATAAATAGATCGTCGAATTCAAAGGTTTCCATACCATTTGCAACTAGCAACGATCAAGATCAGGAGAAACTACGGACTACAGATCAAGCTTGGAGAAAAACCCGTTAAAAAGCAAATATGGTCGAGGTACTGTAAACTTATATTACTGTAAATTTTACTTTGCAACATTCATAGACACTTTCTTTCATTATCTATGAACTTTTTTTATGAGAGCATTAAGGCTGAGATTAACCAAAATTTTAGGAACATACTAAGAAAAAACCCAGGCTGAGAGTCATGTAAGACCGTCGTTATTTTACTTTTTTTGTGTGTGTGAGAATGTAAAACTGTGGTCTAACGGGACAATTAGCTAAAATACTTGGCGGCCTTTCAAAACATTAATGCAGTCTTCTTATTGCACGATACACTGAAGAACAACTCACTTTGAAATGCTATAGCTACAACTATTTAACAATTCAGATACAATGAAATATATGAAGTTCATATATTTTGTACTGCGGTATTAGATACATATGATGCACGATCCTCGCAGTAGATAGCGCTATTTAAGCAATAGCGAAAATCAGACCTGAAAAAAATCAGGCCTGTACGGGATTCGAACCACTGACCTCTGCGATACTAGTGCAGCGCTCTACCAATTGAGCTAACAAGCCAACTGGGAGCAGGCCGTTGAGTTGATTCGTAATAAACCCGTGAAAGTGATAAATGAGATACAATGAAATATATGAAGTTCATATATTTTGTACTGCGGTATTAGATACATATGATGCACGATCCTCGCAGTAGATAGCGCTATTTAAGCAATAGCGAAAATCAGACCTGAAAAAAATCAGGCCTGTACGGGATTCGAACCACTGACCTCTGCGATACTAGTGCAGCGCTCTACTAATTGAGCTAACAAGCCAACTGGGAGCAGGCCGTTGAGTTGATTCGTAATAAACCCGTGAAAGTGATAAATGAGATACAATGAAATATATGAAGTTCATATATTTTGTACTGCGGTATTAGATACATATGATGCACGATCCTCGCAGTAGATAGCGCTATATGAACTTCATATATTTCATTGTATCTCATTTATCACTTTCACGGGTTTATTACGAATCAACTCAACGGCCTGCTCCCAGTTGGCTTGTTAGCTCAATTGGTAGAGCGCTGCACTAGTATCGCAGAGGTCAGTGGTTCGAATCCCGTACAGGCCTGATTTTTTTCAGGTCTGATTTTCGCTATTGCTTAAATAGCGCTATCTACTGCGAGGATCGTGCATCATATGTATTTAACAATTATTCGCCGAAGGCGAGATGAATATCGTCGAATAATCCCCGAGACTAAGTCGAGGGGATTATTCGACAATATTCACCGAACCTGAGGCGAATAATTGTTTTAGTATAATTTCAGAGCTGAACGAAAGAGAAATTTCTAAAATCATAACATATTGGTAACATTTATGAACATTTTACTTTAACATTTTATATAAACCACGTGGAGCGGATTATGTAGCGTCATATAAGGAACCGCTCGACTAATTAGATTGCTGAAAATTCTTAGCTCAGCTCTGAAATTATACTAAAAGAACATGTCGAGAACGTTTTTAGGCTCAAATCGCAAAAATAAAAATAAAAACGTTCAGCCTCAACCACAAAATTCGACGTTATTTTTTTTTTTAAAAAAAAGAATACTCAAATTTTTCAATTACAGAATTAAGCCTGCGCAGTTCATTTCCTGTTGCGTGGATTCTGGATTTAAATCCTATTACATGACTCTTTTTTTTCTTCCAATTTTATCGGATAGTTAACGAAAATTAGCGCGTGCTATCGAATGGACATCCCCGAGCGCAGACTTCACAAAAGTGGAAACCTACTCTTCGCAGATTTTCCGGGAAGCGAGCCTGGTCCTCAAATCCTTGTTAAGTTTACCGGGAGCCATCGGAGCAATACAGCAGGTAAATATAAGTATTTGATAGGGCGTGACCCTAACAAAAAGCTATTATGAAGCTTTTGTGTACGTAATATGAAGTATAGTCTAAAATAATCGAGCATAAGAAGGAGAGATTTCCGCAGAAATGTCACTGACTCAGTGTCCATGTGCAAGTAGATTTAAATGAGTATCTAGATTAGCTCTATCGTGACACATGCTAAGCATAGACACTTGCGGATTTTTTCATTTATTCTTAACGTTCTATAAATGACGCTCAAGTATCCATGAATGTTCACAAGGCCTCATTAATAGCTATTAATCTAACCATACTATCGATGTTCCTGGTAAACTTATCCTATACAGTAATGCAAAACCTTTTTAGTTTAGCAATTATAGCGTACGTAAATTCGAGAAATGTTTTTCTGTTTTTGTTAAATGGAGAAAAGGACAATTATCTTTAAGCGCTTAGCTTTCCTGGGTTTTAAAGCCAGCTACAGAATATCATTCAGCAGTAAACTGGAATGATCAGATCAGTTTAGCGGACTGCATTAAGCAATTTTCACATCCAATAGTTGACTTTCCTTAAATAATAAATTTGATTTTTTAAATTCATGTTTCTAGAATTTTACATAGAAAAATCTTATCATCATGGAGGACATACCATTAGGTATGACTTGGATGGCAGCCATTACTACCTGTGTGCAGAAGGGAACAGGGTCTTTTTACAGGTGAGTTGTGACGTACCGTGGTTATGACTTTATTATCTCTGTTGTCTTCCAAGTGCAAATTCCCAGAAACAAGTCACTCAAGTAGAAGGTTAACAAAAATAGTGGACGAAAAGTAACTACTATAATTCCTTCCCAAGTGCACATTACTCAGTAGTACTTCTGTATGGGAAATAATAATTTGTGGAATAACCCTGAATCGTTCTGCAGTAAAGCATCCACCATACCCTGACCAATCATTTCATTCTTGTGTTACTAGCAATAAAGTTACAACTGTTTAGTTTAAGTTGTTAATTCAACTCTATATTTTTATTTGCAGTTGGTTGCCCATCAGCCCGATGAGACGAAATACATGTTTGAAGTTCAACATGTCAACAATCAAAGTGATTATATGTCTATTAAGTCCAAAAAGACTGGAAAGTTCCTTGCCAGTGATGAAGATGGCAAGGCATTTATGAAGGAAGTCAACCCTTCCTCAATGAAAGATGACCAGCCAACTGACAGACAAACATGGTTCCTTCTACACTTTGTAGAAACAGTGAAAATTGAAAGAGAACGTACAGTATACAGTTGTAACTTTGATAGCACAAGTATTGACTGTTCAGTCACACGTCGGACTCAAGTGGAGGCCTGTTAGGTGTAAATAAGTTCAATGTAAAAATACATGTACAGGAATAGAGTAGGAGAATTTTAAAATATTGTTGTTGTTTTTCTATCCTAGGACTGTTTTGTTCCATTCTTTTTTAGAAGAGTTTAGATTTATTTCTTGCACAGCGTAAACTTACTCCTTTTCAGATTAATATTTTTTATTGGTCTGTGATACATTGAAATGTGGATAAGATTTAAATCCATATATTGAAGATATTTCATGTAGCTTTACAGATAAGGAAACTCCCTTAGTGAATTACTAAGTATTTGTCATTAATGTGTTGCTTGAATAACATGACTTTAAGTAAGGAAATGTTACGTAAAATGTTCTAGGTAATATATATCTCTTATTAGACGTTTTGTTGTGTAGTATCGCAGAGTATAAACTTTCTTCGCCTGCGCGATGCGAGAAAACCTGTTTAACCGGTACTTCAATAGACGAGTACAAATACCGCGTGATATTTGTGCTCGTCTATGGCGTTATTTGTACTCGTCTAGGTGTAGTTGGATAATAAAAGTTGTAACTGGTACGGCTGTAACCAGAATATGTCGTCTACTCTATAGGTACCGAGTATTTCTATTAAAAGAATTATCGGTAAAACATCTGTTGTTGTTGCTGTTGTTTTAAGACTTTTTCGTTTCCAACTGATTGAAAGAGAAACAGAGAATAGACAGGAGGAGAGAGAGAAACAGGTTGAAAGCTAATCAACTTTTTCTTATTTTGACTTGCTATGCTAATGTTCGGTGAGGAGTAGAAAATACAAATCAAACTAACACCTTCAAATCAATTCAATTATACTTGAGTAGGAAACCAGTACATACTAAACGAACAACACTTATAGAATGTTACTCAAATGTATTTTAATTCTGGTACTAAGATGGATTACCGTGTAGTCGAAGTCTCTATGGTATCGTTAGAAGCCAAGATAAAGTTTTTGAAGCGTGCGAAACGTCCGTGAGTACGGTACAAAACGAGTAAGACGGGAATAACGCAACATTTTGTCGTTAGAAATGAACAACGCTTCCCTTTGCTGTTAGAAACGAACAACGGTGAAGATTTCTCAACTTTATTGCCTATGTACAGACTGTAAGTATGATTTCCAGGTAATTGTTTCTTCAGGCGACATGAAAATTTCGGGCAACATGACTCAGGTTTCGGGCGAGATGACTCTTGGGCGACTTGAACGGTTACCATCACCATCTAACAGCAATTAAGGCCACGGGAAAGTATTCAAAGGAGTTGTTGAGAAGTGAGGGAAACTCATGAAGTGACCACATGTGCTGAATGACCAGCCTCTCTAAGAAGCCATCCCACACTGTTCCATAGTGATGAGGCTTCAGAAAGCCTCTTTACCTTAGGCTGATTTTCACCTTTTTGTGCTGGATATGAAATTTAAACGGGACATGACAAAACACGGAGCCCTAATCCATGGAGTACCCTATGGAGTACCTAAATAGAGTACCCCTAAAAATCATGTATTGGTCAATTAAAATACTTTATAAGCATGGTAAATCGTAGAGATGTACATATCTTAAGATATTTTGAGCTTGCCAACTTTCCGATTTTCACAGTTCGATACAGTCCGGTATTTTTGGGGGCAGGGGCTCTGAGTCGCATTGGTTCCTCCAGTTTTGGTTTTACCGCTGTGTAATGAGTCCTTTGACGGGAAGATAAAAAACTCCATGAACAAAAACGATGAACAAAACCAACTGTTTTGAGTTCTGCACGAGGTAAAATATTCAAGGTTACAAATAGATGGGTGAAGAGAAGCGCAACTTAAACACGTGGATTATTCCTTTGAAGTCTTCACCTATAAATGTAAGCTTGTATCCTCATCACTTCGCACAATTAAGAAACCCATGAGGCCTTGATAGATTGAACGCCACATCTCTTACGGACGCCATACATAAACAGGTATTTCAAAAACGTAAAAACCCGGTACCGAATGAAGGATGTCTGCACTTTTGACTACTTTTTTAGCCTCCATAAGATCATAAATACAAATGGTAATTGGCCCATTAAATAAAACGTATATGGATTATATTAAAGCCTTCCGTTTGAAGTCGTCAGCTTTAAATGTTAAATTCAAGATGGCAGTCAATTCGTGGACTTTATCGGACTGTGACAATCGGAGAGCTAGCAAGCTCAAAATATATTACGATACGTACCTCTCAACGATTCACCATGTTGGTAAAGTATTTTATTTTACGAATACATGACTTTTAGGGTACTCCATTTAGGTACTCCATAGGGTAATCCATGGAGTAGGGCTCCGCGTTTTGTCATCTCCCAATTTAAACTTCGCTTACAACCAAGAGAAAACTAAAAATAAATGAGACCTTGACCTGATGGAGGGTACGCAAGCCATAAGGATCTTGTTTCCGACTGATCGAAAGAGAAACAGAAGATAGACAGGTAGAATTAAGGCATTTTAAATAATTGCACCCTTGACATTTGTTTCCAAGCCGACGAAAGACCACCATGAATCGTGCCTCTCTTCACAGATGTCGATTGTTAACAGTGCCTCTCTTACACATTATGATGCACTGTACCAGACAGTAGGATTTGCCATAAAAATGTGTCCACGCAACTTGTACTGAGCCTTTTTCCACATGCCCTACTTGCCTGAGTTCATCAAGGGCCAGGATAATTCTTCTACTCCCCTAAGGGATTGCATAAGTAGAGGGAACAAATATTGTAGTCTGCCACTGAAGACTCGCAGTATAATGTATCCTTCTGCTATGCGTATTATAAACATTGTTTTTATTACTGTTTTATCATTGTTTTTATCACTTACTCCCATTTTCCATCAGCAGCTTTCATTTCCTGCTTGCGTCTTCTCCTCCGCCACAAAAAAAAGATTAAAACTACAAGAGTCAAGGCCAAAAGCACCACAAAAGAAATGACAATTATCAACCACAATACCATCTTATCATCTGATGACGAAAAAGTAACGAGTGATTATTAACGACTGGATTTATTTCAAATGTTACAAAATAAATAAATAAATAAATAAAGCTAAGTCATTCCACATATAGCTTTCGAAACCCAATGAAATCAAAATGAGTGTCACTAAAATATTATGATGTAAGCAAAATTTCAAAATTTTTGAATTCATTAAGCAGTAGACGAAGCCCTTAAGGAAAGGAAGGGGGGAAGGGGAAAGGGGAAGAAAAGGAGAGAAGGGAAGAGGAAAAACGGGGGTGAGCTTGGGTGGTGACGTTCCAAATTCCTATCCTCCGTCTTTAATTTTCAGCATACAGTTGATCAGTACAAAGTTAATTTATTTCATTTGCCATTACATACAAAATATGATTACAAAGAAAAAAAAACCGATTGAAGGCAAGGAAACCAAATAAAAATCTATAAAGGCTTGTAAGCTTAGGTTCTCTCACATGTGGTACAAATTTAAGTAATGTAATTTTGGGGGAGGGTTTGAACGTCAAATGCCACTTTAGCCAATAACAATGGAAAAACTAAACGATCAATCAGAAGTCATGGTCAAATATCAATCAATAGTCTTTTGGCAATCAATAATCTTTTGGCAATCAATAATCTTTTGTCAATCAGATTATACTATTGATTTCATTATATAAGAAAATGGTGTCATACCTTTTGGAATCACCTCAAGCATTACTATATCACTATCAATACCACGTGCACTGTCCACCTTGCAAGAGTAATTTCCACTATCCTCATAATTCAATTTTAAAAAGGTGAGTTGTGTTTGTACTTTAGGTGTACCTCCTGCCTTAAGGGTGTAAAAGTCATTTACTATGTAGTGTTCACTGGAATTTGAGAGCATATTTCCTTTGAATGTCCAATATACAAAGGTGAAAACATCATCTTTGACCTGTTCACCGACACAAACAAGGGTTACTTTGGTCCCAACTTCAGCAGTGTATTTGGGTTTCTCTGCTTCTATTGTAGGAAGAGGATTATCTTTACCTGCAAAATCAAATGAGGTTTTCGTGGAAATATACTTTAGTAAAGCTTGTTTCTACCTACATTTTTTGCTTTGTTCATCACTTATTCTTCAAACATTTTTTCCAAATTATTTTGCAACTGGCATAGATGTAGAACACATCAAAATACATTTTATTGACTAAAAAGTACAGTGACCATTTAAAACCTTGCAATTCATAGTTAGCAGTACATGTCACCGCATCATAGTCAATATATATGCGCCATTGACCAAAAGAGGTCAAGATGCCTGGATATTGGGCCAGTTCTCCTTCGCATTTCTATGGACCAAGATGAGGCGGAGGTTCATAAAATGTGAAAAAAAGGAACAAGAGTAAATCCAAGCTTCTTGACCAAATAACCTTGGTCACTAAAGAATTTATTATATGGCAAAAAGATTTGCTTTACTAAGAAACAAGAATGACGAGTTTACTTCGAGAGCCGGGAAAGAAAGCCAACTGTGTTTGTAGCACAAGAAACTACTGAGAGTAGTTTATGTTTCCTTAGTTTTGACTGTCTTCAATTCTACCTCCTTTACATTTCCGACACTGACATTTTCCAAGAATTATGCACTTAGTACTAACTCAATTTTTTTCTTGCACCCTATCAAAGAGGGCAATTCCAAGTGGGCAAGATGGGCCTATCTTGTCTGCTCAATTAGCCAATCAGAACACAGGATTCATTTCATTTTTCCCATGAGCACTGCCTGAGATATAATAAATTCATTTATTACCTTTAACATTAAGTGTTATTGTGCTGCTGTCACTTCCAAGAGCATTAACAGCTATGCAAGCATAGTCCCCTGCATCATCTAACTGAACTCCTATTATCCTCAAGTCCGATGTTTGATTTCCAGGCTGTGGTATTTCAGTGTCAATGGAATATTTATGGTCTTTGCCTG